CTGAGTGCGGTGGTGTTCAAGGTTGTAGGAAAAGACGATAGGTACAAGCTCACAGTTCCTACTCGCGGTGTGCTACTCAAGCCTCCAGCTCGTCGCTTACAGACTAATCATAATCAGGCAGGGAACCGTTTGCTCCAGTGTGGATATCCAACTGGCTGGAAACTTTGGGACGATTAGTGAATGAAACAGCTTTCCAGATCGTTGCCTGGAGGCCAGGATAGTGAATGTGTTATTCCCCATTCTCCCCCATTCTCTCCCTACCCTCTCCCTCCTTTCTTTTCTCTTTCTTCCTCCCCACTACTTTTCTCAGGATGCAGTCTAACCTGTATTCCACATGTGATCTTATTATGAGATTCCATCGGCGACATTGATGGTCTCTGAGACGGAGAATCGTGTCATGTGCTGGAGTTCCGAAGGGGGCTATATGGATGTAGAGGACGAAATAGTAGGGGAAAGTAGTGTCGTCATTGTAACTCTGTGAGAAGACAGTTTCCTGCCTTCACTTGTTATGACGGGAAGTGACCGGTACTGCCATGGAGGACTCTCGAGTTGAACGCTGTGGATATCTTACTGAGAATATCCAGGCTTACGCCAGAGTGAGAGTAACATCCTCACGGGAAAAAGCCGGTTTCCATGGGAAACCATAGTCTACAAAATAGGCACTGGCTTGTTCGAAATCGACTTTCTCGCTACCATTCAAGACTCTCAAGCCCAATGTTGTTGCCAGAATATCCGGACTTGCGCCAATGCGGGAGCATAATCCTTAAAGGTGAAGATTCCAACAGCTGGCCAAGTGGAACAAGGAACTGACAACACCGATACAGCAGCACATGTACCAGCCAACAGTCAAGCCGATTTGGAAGAGGTTTCAACCGTTTGTCAACCGGTCGTTATACGTCGATATTGGCCAGAGTGAAACATATCTACGAGATTAGCGCCGCTTCCGGTATGATTGCTCGGGCACCTGGAACGAGAGCAGAGTACAAGAAGTTCTTGGAAAACGTCTACTCGTCGCGGATTAGATATCGTACTAGATATCGTTCATCTTTGAGAACGGCCTTCTAGGATGGCAACAACGCACCGTCTCGCTTATGCTACTGAGCGCTGAGACCACGACGGCAAGTTTGTCTCTTCGGCTTGTTGAAGCTTATCGGAAGTTCCAGTTTCGTCTCATCGAACAGGGCGGTCTCTTATATGCATATTCTGCCTTCGATACGTAGTTATGAACAGGGTAGTGCAACTTGAGACTTGGGAGCTTCTCTACGCAAAGGCCATTTCTTCATCGACGGCAAGCCTTTGGGCAGGCTTCCAGGGAGCATTCGTAACTCAGATATGCTCAATAGACTATGCGGTGACCAGGGACTCAGCGCTTCTCCGTCGAGCGCCCGAGATCAGTTACAAACTGGCGCTGGCTACAAACGGCTATAAGATTTCCTCGGTGTATCGAGGCCAGGACCTAGTGATCTGGGCCTGCAAAGAGAGCCATCTACCCCAACGTCAAGAACACGATGCGTTCCCATACCAGCTGGTTGCTATGAAAACATGTATCTTTCCTGTGTAGTTATCTCACCATATCAAAACAAGATATACGTCACCTTGATATCTTCCGCGGACATGATTTTTCCAACTGGGAGGGTGCTTAATAATGTGTTGATTACTAGGTCGATGGCAGGCTTTGTCTCAGCCAGAATCTCTTGAGCTATTGCAGCAGCACGCTCATTTGGTGTCGATCTTACTTGACACCATCGGACTATATACTACCGATGACCTCTTCGAGCGTTATTCCATGCATCGTCGGTTCTGCCACTGCCACTGCCACTGCTGCCAGAACACACATACGACAACGGACTATCTCCACGAGCTGTACCGTATTGAGGTTCGAAGTTTGCAAGGATCAATGCGACGCAACAGCCACAAAGACCCGGTCGACTGACTAGGCCACTTCGATGCTGATGGGATGTATCAGTATGCCACTACCACTACAGGTTTCATGATCTTGATTCTTATCGGTGGCAACGGTGGCTATGTGCTGCGCTCTATGGCAACCTGTGTTCTCCTGTATTCTGTGGCTGAAAGCGAGACTCGCGTACTCTCCATCGACGCAACGGTCCCGGCGAACAGGCAGGCTAGAGCTGCAGGCGCGGTGGGCGTGAAGCATACGTAACTAGTCCTCATGAAGAGGTTACGCAGCTTTCTTATCGCAGGGGCAAAGGAGTTTGGAGGCATGTCAACTACGACTGTTGACAACAGGATGGGTTTGAAAGAGAAAACAAAAGCCCCGGGGGGAGGGCAAGCTAGCTATATGTCAAAATGTCAGGGCCATCCTGCAGGATGAGCACAATATTTGCTTTGGGGTGTACATAATGAATCCCTGGTCTAATTTCTCGGGATATTCCTTGGTAGTATATCAAATAGAGAATCTTCCTTCTTCTGGTCTTTCTTGATCTCATATGAACAAGGCGACTTATATCTCAACATCACATTGCTTTAGAGATGACATGCCATCCCTCGCCTGAAGGGCTTGTGTTCTGGCATACTCCTCTCAACAGCGCACAGGAAACTCTTGTTATAATCTTCTTTATTTGTTCCGGATACCGCTAACCTGCCTCACAAACCCTTCTGGTCCCAGAAGCTGAGGTAGAGGCAGTCTATTGCTTAGCAGTGCTGTCCGAGGGAAGCATCGACAAGACTACTTTACTATGAGCCGGCCACCGGGCCCGCGGCAACTACTCCTCAATAGGCAGTCACGCTGGACTCCGACTGTCGTCGCCCTCTGTCACTCCACGCTGAATGCGGATTTAGAGGCGTGGGTTTATAGGGGAAACAAACGGGCATAGCAAAAAAGGAAACGGCAAAAAAGATGGTCCCAGAGGGGCTCGAACCCTCGACTTTAACGTTATTAGCGTTACGCTCTAACCAACTGAGCTATGGGACCCGGTTGGTTGAAAAATGCTAGGATCTATGGTCTTATCACCACGTGAAATATTATGTCATTATGCATGAGGTTCTGTGTTCTACCGCCGATCCGGATCGCAGTAGGGCTGGCTCGGATCTAGCCGAATCCTGGTGCATCTACTGAGTATATCCAACGCATACAGGTACTGTACAGTACATAGACTTGATTCAAGCGCATAGCGCCACGCTGCGGAATTGCATGTGGTCCCCGGGTCACATCATTATAGATGACGTGTTGTAGAATTGAGGTTTATGGCACCGTTTTCCTCCATCATTTGGGACTGATTGGCGCGCATGGGAGGCGTATGTACCCGTTAGGGAGATTGCTACAATAGCCAACAACAAAAGAGTATATGCACAATCCATAGCACCGTGTTGTTATTTTCGTGCGAACTGTACTCGGGTGTAGACGATAAGATCCATTCTCGTGTCTTGCATGTTTTACTCTCTCGTGGAATTGTGCCTGCGGATAGGCCATATAGTTTTGACTTGGACTAAATCCATAAAGCTGCGCAGGCCGCGGAAGCCGGGATCGGGGACGGACAGAAAGAATGAACGAACCACGCCTGGCTGGTGTCACCACAGCCCGGCCCTTTAAGGACCACGAAGAACAGACAACACAACACCATTGCACGCCTACGATGTTCTCCTTCGGGTGACCAAGAAGCGACGATCGGGTAAAAGCAAAAAGATAATCGGCCCGAGCCGCGGATCGAACGCGGGACCTCTCGCAGATATGCTTGGGTTTGGAATCCCTAAGCGAGAATCATACCACTAGACCACCCGGGCTGAATTGTTAGAATGGTTTGAGAGTGTGCCGTTATGAGGACTGAATATGCATCCTGGTTGTTTTACTGCCAGAGTTGACTGAGATCCTCGTAGCGGATGCTGTTAGGATTGCGGTATGTATGATGCCTACAAAAAAAAAATGTGGGACTCCCAGTCACTCAGCAGCTCTCTGCGATGGATGGTGAAAAAGGCGCCTTCTCCTGGGCAGTATCCAGTTACTGGACTTGGGGATCGAGCAACATGTCGGTACTGACAGTCTGCGCGTAGCGGAATATACAACAGTGCCAAGGTAGGGCTTGGTGGAAAAATACCTTTGTTGCGCTTGTGCTTTCACCCCCGCGGCGCTCTCCCTCAACCTCGAGCAGGAACGTCCTGCCCAGATAGGATAGAGTAGCCATCTTCTCGGTACTTTGAATAATGGTAGGTGCCACCCCCCTCACTGTCTATGGTCACGAGCCACTCGTTCCGGCGACAAATCTATCCAGCCAGAGCAACCTCATATCGCAAGCACGTGCCTCTGATCCACCCAATGAATTGCTATAGCATATATACACCGTACTATCCATCAAGGCCTTCATCTCCAGTATGACTCTATCGGTAGGCCGAGCACAAGAACCATCATATCATATCGATCCTAGACCCAGCAACAACAGCAACGGAACGGCTGTAGCGGTAGCCCTATATCCCCAGCCCCGAACCCCCCCTCCCCGTAGAGAAGCACAGTCAAAAACCCACGAAGAATAACGCACACAGTAAATGACACCTGCAGAGCCTACTCCCACGCCCACCACACAGAGACATCTACCAGACGCCACAGCCACCAGAAAGGACACTGCCACTCGCTACGGAGGCCACGCACCCAAAATCCCCACCCCAAGAACCACCTAACAATGGCATCATCCGAGGCCTTTATCCCCCACGTCTTTGACATCCCCTTCAAGCCTCTTTGTCTCAACTCATGACAAGGAGACCATTGTACATATAACAGTGAGCTTGAACGCAACCCAACAAGCAGATTTGTTGCTTAGCTTGAGATTCCCAGTAACGGTGGCATACAGCCATAAGGGTGCAATGCTCGCTTTCCAAGGTATAAGAAACATTTCCCCCCTGAAATGGCACCCCTCCGCGCGCGCCCCCGGCTGGTCTGGCTACCACTTTATGTATACTTTTTTTTTTCTTAGGGACGACACAAGCAGCAGGGTTGCTTCATATCAATGTCTTCAATTCGAGAAATAGTTTCGACAACGGACACCATACACAGAACAAAAGAAACGATAATCTTCACCACTAGGGAGTTAAGTGGCATCTATCAACGGCCGCCCAGATGAGAGGTGGGAATAGAGGCGGCGGCGGCGGTGGTGGCAGAGGTGGTAGAGGTGGTTTCAATAATCAAAATAACCGCGGTGGTGGAAGAGGGGGCGGTTTCAACAATCAGGGTGGCAGAGGTGGATTCAACAACAACAAGAGAAACAACAACGGCGAAAAAAATAATCGGGGAAGAGGTGGATTTAACAACAATAACAACAGCAACAGGAATAACAACAACAACATCAACAACAACAACAACCGCGGTGGAAAAGGCGGTGGCTTCTTCAACAACAAGGGAAACAACTGGAATAACAACAATAACAACAACGGCAATGGCAAGAACGGCAAGAATAAGAAGAAAGTCAACTGGTATCGCCCGCTCCTCGACCCATACGACTTCGAAGACAACTCGGCCAGGGTGCTGTGGCGCTGGGGGGTTGACAGCAGTAAGGCCCCGGAACCCGAGGATACAGAGATGACGGACGCGCCTCCGTTGGAGAACCCCGAGCCTGACGATGATATAACCATGGGAGGCGTCTCTGATGACGAGGACTCTGATATCTCGATGGGAGGCTGGTCCGACTCAGAGTCTGATTCGGATACCTCGATGAGAAGTTGGTCCGATTCGGACCCCGATACCTCAATTCGGGACTGTGCTGACCTAGATGCCTTGGTAGGGGGGCAGCCGGATCGGGGTGCAAATGAGCGGCGATTGTCTGATTCAGATATCTCGATGCGAAGTTGGTCGGATTCGGACTCTGATACCCCCAGTGGGGCCTGTGCTAACCCGGATACTTCAACAGGCGAGGAGTCCGACCCAGACACCGCGGTGGGAGTCCGTTTTGAGTTGTACAGGTCGTGCAAAGGCCGTCCCGGTACACCAGTTCCCTCGAGGAGATCAAGCTCGAGCTCGGAAGCCTCGAGCGATTCATCGGATCCGGACTACTTGCCAGACGACGATGAGGATCCAGATGACGAAGAGGATCAAGACTATGCCTCCAAGCCAGGGAAACAAGCCCCAACCGACCCCTGTGAACAGATGTAATCACCCAGCGAAAGAACTGTTGAAGGGATCCTGTTGTTGGACATTTAACTTACCGTGGATGGACTTGTTGTATATGTTGTCACTATATATGAGAGCTTTGGGTTCTGGTGATAGAGATACCAATCTATCTATCTTGGAAGTGTAGCTCTGTGCCTCGCAGCGCGGGCTCCGAGTTGACCATCGGCGGATCAAGAGGGAGACTAGGAGGAATACGTCAGCTGTGGGAGGGGAGACATATCGTCCGGGGCGATGCTGAAGATGCCACCACGGGATATCAGGATAGGTGAATCACTCACATATCCGAAGTTACCAAGTCGACTGCTAGTTAACCACAGAAGCTCCTTTTCTTAGCCTAGCAGAGTGCCAATATGAAGTGGAATGATATATAGTATATGCAACCGAGATTTCGATTCAACACTCGTATGACTCGTGGCAGCTGAGGGGAGGGGGAGTCAACGGAACTCACCGTGCACTGTACTGTACATACCATAGTTTGGTCTGTCGGTCTCATCCGATATTGAGATCTGCCAGACTAAAAGATCAACGCTGCGGGCGCCGGGGACAACGGCCCAGCTGGCACTAATCCTAGTGCATGTAACTAGCCTACGAGCCTTGTTATTTAGTGCTTACGGTACCTCCCTCCACTGAGCTGAACTACGAATCTACTGTTTTCTGACCAAGCTCCACCAGGCTCCAAAATAAATAAGAAGCGACCTGCACGACCCCACCACTTCCTCGTCAATCTACCACCATCTATCGATCTCCCACCCACGCGACACAATCATGGCCACCAATTCCACCACCAAGCTCCAGGCAATCGTCATAGTCCACGGCGCATGGCATTCGCCCTCCCACTACTCCAACTTCACGACCGCCCTCCGCAAGCGCGGCCACGAGGTCCACGTGCCGCGCCTGCTGACCATGAACGGCGTGCGCCCGCCCAACGCTCACCTCGAGGACGATACTGGCCTGATTCGCACCTACGTCGAGAGCCTGGTCGAGGCCGGCCGCGAGGTCATCGTGCTCATGCACTCCTACGGCGGGCAGGTGGGCACCAACGCACTCACGGGCCTGTCGACCACCCAGCGCGAGGCCCAGGGCCTATCGGGCGGTGTGCGCCAGCTCGTCTACATTGCCGCCTTCGCTGTGACCGAGGGCACATCGATGATTGATGTCGTCGAGGCGCACGGCCACGGCGAATATATGCCGCTCGCTTTCGACTTCGCAGAGGACAAGACGACCGTCAGTCGGGATCCTAAGGGTCTGATCGTGGGGCCGGGGCGGTCCGACGAGGAGCTCGAGGCCTATGTCGCGGCATTCCGGCCCCATAATGGCGGGGCCTGGTATGAGAAGGTGCAGCGCTGTGCGTGGCGCGAGGTTCCGCGGGTGGCGTACATTCAAGCGACGTTGGATACGAATGTGCCGCTTCAGTATCAGAAGGATCTTGTGGAGGTGATGGAGCGGGAGACGGGGCGTCCGGTGAGGACGGTTGAGGTGGAGACCGGTCATTGTCCGACTTTCACGAAGCCGGAGGAGGTGGCGGCGATTGTGCATGAGTTGGCGGTTGGGAATTGAGATGGATAGGGGCGGGACCCTGGGGATCTTCTTCGTTGATTGTAGGAAATTGGACTGCTGCTCTGGCGGATTATCATTGGCGGTCATGTACCACACGATGAAAGGTTGTTGTACTCATACCCATGTCTCTTTGTCTGTGGTATCCAACTTAAACTCAGTAGACGCAGTAGCGAATGGTCATCAACGTACGTAGCACTGTACATAGTACCCGTGTTAGACCTTGCTGGTTTTCATCTATCATTAGTGCTCCCCGTTAGTGCTTACTGTGATATCGCCCGGCCCTGCGACGGACTGCCCCACTACCTACCCATAAGCACCCCCTTCTCCAGCCGAACTCAAGCCACCCCCGGCGCGGCTATCTCGGGCACTTCCCAGCCCGTGATCAGGAAGCGGGCCGCAACGATCGTTTCGATCCACGCGGCGCATGCGGCGTTCGAGAACAAGATTCAACGTGCTGTAGCATATCAGGAACTTATTCTTCGCTTGCTCTCACAGGAAACCCGACGAATGCGTCCAGTTTGGCTTGCTGACTTGAAAAGACAGGTACCGCACATAGAGGGGGCGAGGTGCGGCTATGGCATTGGGGACATCGTGCTGTGGTGGAATTTCATGGGGTCGCGGCCGGTAAGCGAACCATCGCATCGGAGGAAGAAGAAAACAAAGGGGTGATTTCTTTGCCGATGGACTAGACGAGAATAACAGATCGGTGCAGTTCTGTGCATTTTGACGAAAGGTATTGGCAGGACTAGTCGTCACTGGGAACGCGGGCCTGACTGACGCCCGCGAGGGGTGGTATTGAGCGTATGGGAGGGATTGGCTCTGGGAAAGAAGTGTAGCACAGACGGGCGATCAAGATCATGAGTGAGGTGATTCTGGCGATGCCTACCTTGTTGCGTATGGACGTGTTCTGAGTATAGACTATAGAGCGTTCGCTCGTGAAAAAGGAGCAATAACACATGCCCAGGACGAGTTGTGTCATGCAAAGAAGACCGGAGTCGCTGAGCTCAAAGTCGCGTACTGTACCTGCCGCCGCCCAACCCAGCCCACCATCCAAGTATCGCATAAACCACCATATCGCAACAATCTATACCTCACAAACAACAGTAAAGAAAACACCCAGAACGGCCGAATATATACCGATTTCGGGAGGTAAACAACAACCCCATAAGAACCCATGGTTCAGGGTCGACAATTACGTAAAAGTGTTTTGATGACGACTTGATAACAATTGCTCTATATAAGTCAAGCATGCCCCACCACCACCAACAACGTAGACCGGATGGTCGAGTTGGCGGGTCCTCGTGGCCAAGTTGGTTAAGGCTTCACGCTTATAATACGAAGACATTTCATGTATCGTATCGTGACGATCGGCGGTTCGAGCCCGCCCGGGGACAATTTCTTTTTGGTCTTGGGTTGGGGTGGCGACTCTTTCTCCGCCCAGTACGTACAAAACCGCCCTTTGTCTCTTTTTTAGCTTCTTTGCATGCAAGACGTGTTTTATTGTTTTTTGTCTGCTTTGGTTGTACTATGTTAAAAGATATCCGGGGTCTTGGTGAATATGCAAACCCATTAATATCTGCTGTACTGTAAGGTGTATGTCATGTACGCTTCCCACTCCAACCTACGCCGGTCTATCTCTTCCTCCCGACTCCTTCCAATTACCCCTCCTTCTCAGAGTCACTACCACCGTACTGCATCGACACCGCCATGCGCTCCAACATCTCCTCCCTCCATCCCCAGCCCAGAGCAAAGGTAGCACCCGGCCCCAACGCAAAAGTCGAAGCGGCGCACGCACCGACAGCCTTCCACCAGGAGAACGTTCCCTCGGACCGCGCCTGCTGTCGCTGCTGCAGCTCCCGGAACCTCAGCGCCAGCCACACGAACCCGCTCGCCATGGAGATGACCTGGTCATACTGCAGGAATCGCGCGATCCCCTGCGGAAACGAGGTCACGGGGGCGAGGTGCTCCGTCAGACCCGGAAAGAAGAGGCTGGCCATGGAGGCGCCGCGGGGCTTAGTGAGGCGCGTGTAGATGAAGGTGATACCGGAGAGGAGGGCGAGGGTGCGGTAGAAGAACCGCACGGTGCGGATGTTTCTCCTGCGCGTCTTACGACGAGCGTCCGGGTCGGCCGGTGGCGGGGCAGGGAAAAGGCGCTTCGCGAGGAGGGCGATCGGGAGCTGGAGGAGGGGCACCGTTACGGGGAAGAGTTGCCATATGGCATTGTACCAGTGTCGGGTTTCGACGGTGCGGGGGATGAAGTTGGCGTAGGTGGTGAGGTGGTAGCTGCCCAGGAGGGAGATCAGCAAGGACCCCGTCGTGGACGGGTCGATAATGCGGTTATGGCCCGGGAGAATGCGACCGAGGGGTGCGGTGATGTATTCGGCTGCGTAGTAGAGAGGGGCTATCAGGCCGATTCCGCGGACTTGGAATGCAACGCCGGCGGTTATGGGTCTATGGAGACGCAAGGTTAGGTGCTGCAGGGTTCAAGGTTGAGAAGATAGGGATGCTTACAGTAACACTTTGTACCATGACTCTGCTCCGCGGAGGCTCTCCAAGAGCCAAATGCCATACACCGGGCCCAGATCGGTCATGAACGACAGCATCTGAAGCCGCGAATATGGGTCGGTCCCGCTGATCGAGGGCAAAAAGCAGAGATTCATAGGTCGGAGAAGGTTGTCCAGAAATGGGACGTGGTAGACCGGTTTAGTCAGACTGATGGCCTCACCATTGCTGGCGGTCCAGGTTCCTTGGCTGATCTGTGTAATCAGGTATGGCATGAGCTTCTGGATCACGGTCCCCATGGTTGCGCTCGCAGCAGCGTAACAGCCCACCAAAGGAGCAGTCCAAAGAGCTCGCTTCCAGGCCTTATCAGCGGGGGTGTAAGGGTAGCTGTCAGTGTACGGCATGGTGCCCTGCAACGACCTTGCCGGGACTGGCTCGCAGTCGAGCTTGACGGCTCCGGCCATATTCTTAGAGTTGAGATCCATCAGGTAGCGGCCAATGTGTGGCAGTACCCTGAGTGCAATGAATTTATATTTTGGGGACGCCAAAGACTCAATGCGAGTCAAATCACCAGCGGCAGAATATATGGCGGGGAGACGAGCAAGTCGGGCTTCTTCCCAGGCCTGTAGACAGCGGTCAATCTCACCGACAGGGATGCGCTCCTCGGCCGAGCTTTGTACCAAAGTGGCTAGGTTATTGGCCAAAGACGCGGCACTCTCGATAGCACTCATCCCGCCCTGGCCCAGGTTGGGGGTCATCTGTGCAATGCAACCAGGTAATCAGCAACACTACCACGTTATAACTAGCTCTCGGCTCAACATACCTTGTGAATCGAGTCACCAATACAGACAAAGCGATCCATGCACCAGTGCTTAAACAGGGCCTCTTCCAGAGGAACCATTGTTCGCGTTATCGTTCTTTGAACGACCTCGGAGAATGGCACGGTATCGGTGACCGGCTTGTCCAGGTAGCCTGCTATGTGCTTTTCGAGATCATCCTGGCTATACCGAGGGGTCTCGTTGCCTGTGTAGACCTGATCCATCTTGGTGAAGAAGAACCAGTAGACGCGCCCACCCTTGCTTGAGATCACCAGAAATGACCAATCCTCGCCATACGTCCGATGAAGAAGCCCCGGTTCCAGTCCCGGGGTTGGCTGCGAGATGCCAAACACACAGTTATACTCGGACTTCATCCCTGTACCCCACGAGGGGACGTATCAGTACAGGCTTCCAGTCCCAGAACGGAGGTCGCATACGTGTTCTTTCCACCGCGATCTCATTGATGAGCCCGCGGGTTTCCATATAGTCCCACATCTGATACCGGATGGTACTCCTGACGCCATCCGCACCCACTACCAAGTCTCCCTCGAAAGTGGTGTTATCTTCACAGTGTACCACTACCTTCTCGGGCAGGTGGTCCACTTTTGTCACTCTCTTGTTGAGAAATACCCGATCTTGCGCAGACCCTAGATGCTTGTGAAGGACTGCGAGTACCGCCTGCCGATCGAGAAATGCTACTGGGTACCCATGTCTGATTTCCCGTCAGCGGGTGATCACATATCACTTCTCACACAATCGCAGCAGAGATGTTGGATGGGGCGCGCGAATGACCTACCTCTCTAAGACGAGGCGCAGGTCGATCGACTCGTTGATGAGCTTGCCTCTATCGGACCAGATGAGCTCTCTATGGAGCGGCTCCACGAGATCATAAATGTCGTCGAAAACACCGATCTGATCGAAGATGCGACTGCCATTCGGGCTAAGGCCAATGGATGCACCTACCTGAGGCGCGATGTCATCGTGGGACTCCAAGACAACAAAGTCAATGTTGTTTCGGAGAAGGGAGTGGGCAAGTGTGAGGCCAGCGATGGAGCCACCCACTATGACCACGCGGAACTTGGATTGAGAGGTCTTCTCCATGGTGAAGGTGATAGGCAGTCCACCTATTGCGTACAGAAAGTGACGACCTGATTTCAAGTAGGTGTGAGGAGGGTGGGCAATGACAATGTATAAATACTAACACCAATACTACTGTGATAGTTTAGAGGTTCCACTCCAAACACCAACGGCTTCATTGTCTGCGACGATCGCAAGGGGACAGATGAAGCTCCATCGAAGAAAAAATGTGGACTTCACATTGTTCTAGATTAGGTAGAGATAAGTTGAGGACGGGCCAGACGAGTCAAGCCAATGAGCGTTGGAGTTTAGTCTGCACGCTAGGGGGATTGGCAGAAGCTGCGTGTTCACCGCAACAAATAGCAACCACCATCGCACTCCGAAACCCCATTTTGCTGTCATGGCGTGATTATCGCACCCATTCAAGAGGCATCACGTTTCCCCCACAATACCCAAATACAGCATCGTAATTTCGATATGCCGAAGAGTGCTCGAGCTCCCTTGAGCCCAATCATGTGAATTGGCCCGGCCTTACCGACGGTAAGATGGCGGTGATTTCCGCATCTGGGTGTCAGTGAGATCCAGACATCATGAGACATCAAGAGGCACTGAGAGACTCGGGTCACCATCCGCAAACGAACAACGCATATTATGCGCATTCATTTTCAATGTCCTCATTGCTGACAGTGGTGGCAGAACTCTATCCGCGAGAAGTCCCGCTCGAATGATTGGCTGTGTACACAATGGAATCTCAACCGTTGGGTAGGCCGCCTTGCCGGTAGATACAATATGCATGTCGACCGTTGTCCGATGGGGGGAGCGGGAACAAATGGACGAAGCATGGCCCATCAGCCGTGCAGCACTAATGTAGAAGTATCCCTGAACCCCGCCTGGGCGACGTGCGGCTGTGGTGCTGAGGGTGAAATGTGACTGGGTGGTTCGGGTGCCAGAGCCCACATGGTTTAGCCGCACTTGGCATCCAGCTCGCGAGGCTGAGGGGATGTCGCTCTGGCTCATGGTGAGTGAACCTTATTCTCATTGTACGAGTCGTCTGTTCGTCTAGATGTGGGGACTCAATGCTGCCAAACGTAACTATCATTATGCCAGGTCAGCACGGGAGAATAGCAAAGAGGTTACTTTTAATATGAGCAATATCGGGATAAGCGAGTTGCACGTTGCTGCTTAGGGGGTCTTCCAGAGGTTCAAGGTTCCATGGCTGCTATCGAGCACTGGGTAGCTTTCGGTCTCAAAGGCAGCTCACACATGTCCTGACATCAGTTGGCCGGATGGTGTAGTTGGTTATCACGTATCGTTAACACCGATAAGGTCCTGGGATCGAGCCCCAGTCTGGTCATCTCTTTTTGCACATCCAGGCTTACCACTGTTACTGGTACTGGTACTCTTTTTACCCTCAAGATTGAGGCAATCTATATGGTAAGACGTGACCCAAAGAACTGGCATGGTCAAAGCAACCCTCTCCTCCAGCGCTCAGCTTTCAATGTGAGAAGATTGACTTCTGAACATGCAAGAACAATAGGGCGCAAGTGAGTAGCTCACGTTAGAACTAGGGGGCGTGAATATGGACATTGTACTGTTACCATAACATGACTGTTGTATGGGTGTCCGTTGGTAGGCTCAATCACCGATGCCCCCCTAAATTGTGTGTGTTGTAGCATTCTTTAATAAACTAAAAAAAAAAGGACAAAATTATCAGCGACACGGCATGGTTGTCAACACGACAATGTCTGTATGTGCAAAAAGAGATGACCAGACTGGGGCTCGATCCCAGGACCTTATCGGTGTTAACGATACGTGATAACCAACTACACCATCCGGCCTCCTTGTTAAAACAATTCTCTAATTCGTTATACACGACAGAATATCCAAGACACTCGTCGTCTTCCGAGGCAGCCATAGACTTAGTGGTAGCTTTAGCAATTTTGTTGCTATTCTTTCCAGACCATGTCCTTTGGCTCTTTCACCTTTTTACTTTAATCATACACCCCGATCGCGAAGTATACCAACTAGAAGCTCCCTACGTCACAGATGTTTTGATGACTCGGACCCATGGATGGGAGGCGTATATATCTTCGGCCCACCATCCGACTCTGCAGTCCACGGTATGAGCTACGTTGTCCCGGAGAAACACAGGCGCAAATTACTTGACGCATGGTAGAACGATGACAGGACGCCGACATCAACCACCAACAGGAGTACAGACGTGGCCCAAGCACCAAGACAACACCGAAAATCAAGATACAACTATCCCGTGCCTGCCCGAGAACCCCCCCCTCCGACACATTCAAGCAATGTAGACCCACACAGCGAAGATACTGGAGCCCGATTCCAGCATACAATGGCAGGCGGACAAAAGAGATAGAGAGACATCGATGTCATATCGCGACCACATAACCTCGTACACAGCGAAGGCAATATGTAGCTCCAATAGACCACCCGCAACGAAAATATGAGTCGCTGTATGAGCCAAGGTACCGCAACGATACTTAACCATGAGTAGTTCGACCTAGGAAAGCCAGACTTGAGTAGGGACAAGCATGGGAGCTAGAAGCCGAAGGCATATACAGAGAAGCCACACGGAAGCAGTGTAGAAGATGCTTCTTTTGCAGCACCGGTTGCTGCCTGGTTACTGGAACATATAACACAGAATACGTTATTCTCATAACTTGATCCGATATAGTGTAACGGCTATCATACCTGTCTTTCACACAGGAGATCGGGGTTCGATTCCCCGTATCGGAGACATCCTTTAAATCTTTTTGTCATGTTTCATTCTTTTGACATATCTGCAAGAAGTTCACAATGTCTCATCACTGGACCGTCAAGACAAAGCGCACAACACTAGAACAAGTCACCAGGAAAGGAAGGTCCATCCACTCGCGGCCTACTCCCGGCCGGACCTTCCCTTTTGGTAGACTAACATAGGACTCCGGGAATGAGTGCCGCATTCCTCACGGACAGCATCCCCAAGCAACGAAGAGCAGGTGCACACCTGCGGGCTTCCTCTTTCATCATCCTTAGTCGATAGAGAATTTTACAACGCCACCCCACATACCACGATTCATGACAGTTGTTAAGTGGACCAATAAACTACATACAGTACATGAAAAGAGATGCACAGTCGTGATATTGACATAATCAGAGAGGTAAGGAAAAATACAAGAATCGTCAATATGACGCCGGATATAGCGCCACCAGGAACAAGCACAGTGAAGTAGGATGGTGGGCCAGATATAGCAGTGGTCCGGCACAAGGCAAGGAGAGTCAGTATGTGAATGAAAGGAAGGGTATTTGATGAGTCGTCAAAATGTCGAACAAAGCAGTAGGTATCATGTGGTAAATCCCGGGAAACGCGCGCAATCTTCAACTATCCAAGGTATTAGGAAACTCTGCCGGCAAAAATGTCGCACAAACTCGCTAATCTGTAATAGAATATCGCCCCACCAACCAGCGTCGGGGTGACGATATGAGAATCGAACATGGCATCTTTTGGTCGTTTGGGTCTTTTCGGTCTCTCTCCAGAACTCGTAGAATGTAGCCTGCGATTTGCTCAATCGATCATCATTCGAGTAGGCACCTGGCCAGAAGAGATGTTGGAGGACAGCTCAGTCGTCTTGCCCTCTTTGTTCTGCGTCTTCTTCTTGTGTACATGTTGCTTCAGGCCCTTGTGGAAGTTGTGCATACACACACAGGCGTTGATAATGGTGATGACGATGAGCACAAGGGTGATGACGGCGAAGAATGTCAAAGAGCGCCGAGCAGTCAAGTATAGGTCATAAGTACCAGGCTGGTACATCCGGACTAGCTTGAATAAGAAATAGGCCATGGCCGCGAAGTAAAGGAGCTAGCGAAACGGTCAGCTGATGATCTGCGGGGCTTAACCGAGTACCATTGAAACATACAATGACAACAATCATGCCAATCGAGCTTTCGCGCCGTACGAAGAAGGCCGCGCAGATCAGAATTATAATCGTCACGGGAATGGCAGCTAGTGTAAGGGCGAATTCTATGTCGGTCCTATTCGTGACGATAACGACGAATTGAACGGTGAAACCAAGGAAGAAGAAGAAGTCGAATTTCAGAAGCGAGATATAGATCTAACACGATTGTAAGCATGGGCGCCGCGCGTAACCCTTATACGAGCACATACCTGATAAGTCAGATACCGGCGCTTCATTCGCAGATCGGCACTGATATGTTTGTAGATAGACCATGCGAACTCGTCGTATAGTTTCCAGGCAACGATCACCATCAAGATTGAACCCATAGCCACGACGCAGGGGATGATGATAAGGAAAGGCTCTGTTTCTCCCCAGACGTTTTCCGCAATAGCACCATTGTCCCAGAGAATTTGTACAGCATCGCGAATTTGTTGCACCTGCACGGCCCCGTAAATCAACAACCCGATATTGCACATGCACAGTCCGATAACCTGAATAGTGTTCTTAAGGCGTAGCGCATCGTAAACGAGAATCAGCTCATAGATGAACCCAAAGCTATAGAGGGCTAGGAAGGTTGGAATAGGTTTTGAGGCAGTCGTCGTGGCGGCCGATGGGAGCAATTGGACCTGGAAATTGACGAAAATATAACTTTTGCGAAAAAGATTAGCTTCGGACCCGAAAGTTTGAACATGGAGACTATTTGCACCTACCACTCCAGGGCGAGGGTAATGATCGTTTGCACAAGGGTGACAATGCAGAAGGACCACGTCCACAGAGAATTGGGGCGGTACATCCTGTGTCGCTTTGGGGGATCCGGAGGAACGTTTGTGTATCCTTCCCGTCCACGAAAACCACGCCGAAAGGACGGATCAAAAGAGCCCCCCAGGAGGGAGGCCCGCGATGTGTTGGAATAAATTTTGACGAAGTGCTCCGTGACGGAGCTGGTGTCCGTCGGAGGATCGGGATCTGGATACAATATGCTGGTTTCACCACCAAATGGCGGCGTTTTTCGTTTCGGGAGAAGATCGGAAAGTCGGAGGTCGAGGTGACGATGAGTGCTGTTTTGGCTGTCGCGATCCCCAAACTCTCAGATATGTCGCTTTGCCTGAAAAGACTCTAGGTGATTCAGGAGGTGAAATCTCGATAATGACCGAAACGGTGACGATAGGATCCCAGGCGCATAAGCCACACCAGATCCCCTGAAAATCAGCCTAGACCAGATGGAGGGCAGTCCAGGAGGCTGGGCTGCGAGTGGAAAGGAAAGCGTCGAGATCTTTAGAGGCGATGTGTTTGGTTACTAGGCCGCGTGAGAAAAGTCGCGACGGAGATTTGGCGGGGAGGCTCAGTCCGGTGGTCGATGGCTCGGGACTGGTGGAGGACCAGGCTGGCTGGGTGTAAGGCTGAGCACATGCAGGGTCACGAGTCAGGTTGGTGTGTCGGTTTCAGTCGGGAATGAGGGGGGTGTGGGTGGGAGGGAGAAAGAAAACGAAAGACTAGTTGTGAAAGAGAGACTGATGGGTTGAGAAACGAGTGTTGGAGGAATAGGAAGGAGAAGAGGAAGAGGTGCTGAGTGTTGAAGATGAGGGACAGGTGGAGGACAACAGAAGACGGGGGGGGGGGGCGATGGGGGGAAGAAAGGGAAGTCTGAGCCGCAGTGAGGAGGAAACAACGAGGCGAAAGAAGGGAAGAGGAGGAAAATGTATTATTACGAGTACGAAGATACTTACTTTTTTACCTCTGCCGGTCGGGCGGGCAAAGAAAAGAAGCAGCCAAGCGGAAGAAGTCCAGCTGAAGTTCCAGACGCAACGGAAGGGTCAAGTGTCCGATTCAAAAGGGAAACTGCAGGGACGATCCCCAAAGAATAGAACAGAGAGGGGAGAGAGAAAGGAAGAAAGGAAGAATCACGAACAGACAGACAGACGGACAGACAGACAGACAAGCAGATAGACAGGCAGAAAAAGGAATCCAACTGAATGGGAGAGCTTCCAGTGCTCTCTTCCCCACCGGACGGACACCACCGACAACAAATGCGACTAAGAAAAATAAATAGCCTTAACCGGCGACAGTTAACGGTATGAAGTTAAGTTAGCTGGAATTGTGTTGGATTGTCCATTGAGGAGTATCCCACCCTCAGTTCTAAATTTGTGGTGCTTAATCTCGCTGTTGACTCGCGCACGGGAACTTTTTAATTAGAGTCTTATGTTGTCTTATGTCGCTCTAACACCTCTCAGGAGTTCTTGGTATTCGAGCCACGGCAGGTCCAGTCTTGGCTAATTATCCTCTGGATAATTTACGCAAAAAGTACTCCCCGTACGTATGGAGTACTTCGCAGAAAAGAGTAGGGTGAGATGGCGGTGGTGGCTAGTAATCTTAGGATTCGTACGTAGAAATAACCCGTGCCTGAGACTAACTCAAGGGAGAAATAAACTAGCCTCGATTACTCCTGAATTGTCGCGTTGCAGGCGTTGCAGTGGGGTGGGTCGGACCCATGCGATGGGCTGGCTGTCTGCCTGCTGCGAACTTTTTGAAACCAAAATTTCGCCCGGGGATGGACGGGGGCCAGATTCCATGGTTCAATTTATGCATCTTTCTCCTCCCCCCGGTTTCTGCCTGACCTGGACCGGCAAGAATGTGCCGGACGTCAATGTGGGAAAGAACCGCTGCCACTTCAGCTGTCAATTGAATCGAACCATTGAATTGATGGGAGATACACCTGAAGACTCGAAGAGGGATAGTTGGCTATTACAAGGCCAATTACTGGAAGCAATAATGTAGCGCAGTGGTTCCGTTCCCATTGAAAGATAAGATGGTATTCTCGCCTGAGGCAGAAAGAAACCGACAACCCTCATTGTTGATTCGATTACTGGGGAGGGCTACGTACTCTTCTACCTAGCCTGCCACTCGACTAGTCACTCAGTACCTTGCCTTGCCTGCGTACTTGTTGCTGTGTAGGGTATTATCCCACCACTGGGATGCGAGGAGGTAGCTAGCTGTTCGGGCTAGAGAGAGGCCGAATGCTGCTACGTACTGGAACCGTTCAAGGGGAGAGAGAGAGAGAGAGGGTTGGGTTGGGTGCAGGAAACAAGCCACAACCCACAGCTACCGTGACCATGCGGTGACCCTGGTGTGGCATGGTGTGGCTATTTTAGTGCCTCCTTGCCGTTCCCTTCAGGTGGCTGTCCGTCCACTCGGAGGGAAGACTCGGTCTTTTGTGAAACAGCGGTCTTAACAGATAAATTTCCAGCAGTTCTCCTCTGACAGGCTAGATATAGTCTACGTAGTACTTCGTATACTATGTAGGATCCATCGCCATGGTGACATCTGATTCATATATACCCTACTGCAAATCAAGCACTATTCCCTGATGGGTACCGGCTTATGGGTGACAGGGTCGTTAGCCCTTTAAACTCGAGCTTCGACATGGTTCTCAGTTCTCTATCCCGCACCATCCAGATACTAGGCTAAATTAGTAACGAATTCAGCGGATTGTTGAATAGACAGTGAGCGCGGTGCTTGCATCTACTAGACACTTAGGTGCAGACACTGCAGTAAACCAAAGGGACTTGCTTGCTCGTAGTTGTGCGTTCAGGAGAAAGTCGATTCTTGGGTTGGTGTCGGTGGCATAGTCCGAACTGTCATGCTTTCGACACTTGAAGCATATCTCTATGATGAGATCATGAGAAAGCGACACCAATAGATGATGCAAGATAGCGAGTCAGATGTCCCAGAGATGATAATTGAGGTACAGTTCATAAGACCAAAGGTGTAGCAGTGCCCAGGGCTTTTCACACCGCCTACCTTGAAAGGATTCATTTGCCGAGAGAATATCAGCCTCCCGCGGTTCCATTGGAGGAGACGGGGGCGGTACACGGGAGCACGGACTACATCACGGAGCTGGGGGCTAAGAATTTCGGCTCCCACTGTAAAATCGAGGGTAAAACAACAGCAAAAAGAAATGAATCTTGCGACTCCGATACGGGGAATCGAACCCCGATCTCCTGTGTGAAAGACAGGTATGATAGCCGTTACACTATATCGGATCTATTTATCAAAAGCTGAGAGTTTCTGTTAAGTATTCTTGTGTCAATGAATGTTAGTGAACTGCTTGACTGCTTTCTCGCAATCGATTGCCGCCCGGCAGAATTGTATGTGACGGTAACCCGCCAAATGGAAACGTGAGCGTGGCCTCTTTCTGGCAACCCGCACCTTCACCTCCCCCGACCTTCTGCCATCCACCTCGTCCTTCTTCTCCCCAGCCGACTTCCTTCCTTGTCCCATCGGCCAATTGACCCATATATCTCTTTGTTCCTCAACTTTAATATCACACTTGCTTTCTTTGCTTTTTAGCCCTTTCTTGATTCCACTTTCATAATGGTCAGTGCCCTCGTCCTGCCTGTTGTCTCAGCGCGCACCTCGATTGTCCTTTGCGCGAGCTGGATGATCTCCCCCAAGCCGACCGCCGCTATCCACTTCAGCATTCGAATTGAAACTGACCTCAGTGCTATAGGCTTCTCCTCGTGCAGCTTCTCCCCTGACCTCCGGAGCTGAGTCCGGCCCTGACTCCAAGTCTGCCGGCGCTGGCTCCGGTGCCTCTGCCGTCTCCTCCGTCAACCGCCCTTCCTCCCCTACTCCTCCTGGTGGTCCCCGGGCTGCTTTGCGTCGCCGCGCGGCCGCTGACCACAAGGAGTCCCTCCGCAATGCCCGACCCAGCTCGACCCGCGCTGCCGGTGCCGGTGGTTCTTCTGGCACGATGCTGAAGCTCTACACCGACGAGAGCCCCGGCTTGAGGGTTGACCCCGTCGTCGTCCTGGTTCTCAGTCTGGGATTCATCTTCTCCGTCGTTGGTCTGCACGGTACGTTCCACCCATCCACCAAGCACCAATCCAAAGAATCAACCACTGACCGGTTCCCCCTATTCTACAGTCATCGCCAAGATCACCCGCAAGTTCTCCTCGTAAATTAGCCCCCAAACGCCATCGGTTCACCGTCAGACACTCTGAAACCCGGATCTTCTTGATACGCAGCACGCTATCAATCGGTAAATTCCATCCGGGGCCCGCGAGATTGGTTGGCTTGGGCTGAAACTCCGACCGAGAGAATCAGATCGTCGCATCATTTATCACCTTCGAAATCATATACCCCACCTTGGTGTCCCCCCTTTACCCGTTATACTCTGCGTGCGCCGGTGATGGAGACATCTTTTCGCAACACACGCATTTTTGACCCAGCGCGCTTTTGTATTTTGTCCGGATTCATACCTATCTGCTGCATAGGATGGAAATGGACATGCTCGAACAAGCAGAGGAGAATTCCACAAGGGAAAGACAGAGAAAGAGAGAGAGACTTGGAATGAAATGCATATGTGTAATTTTAGTGCTTATCAATGAAAACGAGTTCCGACCAAACGGTTATCGTATACGTCAGCGTACCCAGCGGAAGAACCGAATCCATCGACCCACGCTATGAAAAACAGACTTGGGATCCTGCGCATAGAGTATAAGAATGCGAAGCAGATAAGGGAAGGTTCTGGCACCCGGGGAAACTGAAACTGTGGGGAGAGACCTGGTTAGCGAAGCAAAAGACAAAACAGGAGAAGTAAGGCGACAGAGGTAGAGAGCCATGCTATAGTATACATGCTGGCAAAGGCTATCATGCTCCACGAATGTGAGGAACCGAATTACTAGCCAGTGCCTTCCAGAGGCAGCTTCACAAGAGCCCGATAGGCTCCAGAGAACATAGTATACTGGTAACACATGCAGTACTTGACTTCTACCTTGAGCTTATATCTAGCTTCTATACGATCTGTCAGCCCACTGTACCTGCAAGCAGAGGAAGCATTGCTCGGGTCTAGGCGGTCCAAGGCTTCACAGATGAGCTGCTGCATGAGTAGTACACATTTTGGGCTGGCGCTGTCCCCGTCTCAGCGTCTTGGACCTCAATCGCTGCCTGGCATTGCCATCGTAGTCTTTCTTCGAAAGGGGGAGAGGCAAAAAGGTTCATAGTGCGAAAGCACGACGGAAGAAAATGTACAGAAAGATTGGTTCATATCATTACAACATCTTTAAAGCCAATCAAGGTCTAGATAAACGGTCCCGCTTTCTAACCCACGAGCAAAGCTAAGAATCCGAACCGATCGACTCTCGAATCTCCGCCGCCCTCTTCACCACCGCCTCTACATCCTCCACCCTCGGCCCCGGCATGGAGGAGACATACCCCTGATAGGTCTCCTGGAACGGCTCGCTGATGCCGTAGCGGTCGTAGTCGTCCTCATCGTAGTCATCACCGCCGCCGCCGCGGATGGGGACCAGCTTGACATGCGCGTAGTCGATCTCGAACCCCTCGAAGATCATCCCGCAGCGCTCGATCCCAAACGCCCGGATCAGCAGCTTCGCCACTGTGTGCGCCGCCTCCACCAGCCCGGCATAGTCCTCAGGCGACAGCGAGAAGATGTCGCTCGACAGGTGCGCGCGCGGCACCACCACCGTGAACCCGGGGGTGTTGGGGTACGGCGTCAGGAAGGCGACGTGGCGCGCGTCCTCCCAGACCCGCCACTGCGGGGAGAGTTCCCCGCGCACGATGCGCGCGAAGAGGTTGGCGTCGTCCGGGTCCGGGCCGTGGAAGGTGTGGTCGGCGTGGTAGGTGGTCGGGGATTTGGATGCCGCGAACAGGATGGAGCTGCGGATGGTGTTGAGCTGCGGCGTGGGCAGCGGCGGCGCGTCTTTCGAGGTGATGTACCCCGGGTACTGCGGGTGGAATTCCTTGGTGGGGTGCGTGACAGGGGTCCATTGCGGGGTGAGGCCGTGGAGCGGGAGGATCGAGACGCTCGCTCCCCCCGTGGTGATCAGGGCGCAGCGCTGGACATTGTATGCCTTGCGGAGGTGGGAGGCGATGGTGCGGAGCGTTTGGAGGGTTTCCACGAAGGTGGGCGGGGGGAGGTTGAAGAGGTTGGTTTGGTTCGTGGTGAGCGTCGCGACGGTGTGGCCTGGGGTGGTGGGGCGGAGGGTGAGGTTGACGGTTAGATGTGCGTCTTGATAGATCGTCGTATTGGGAGTGTGATCGTCGGCCATGTTGGTGATTGTGATTTTGATCGCGGTGGTGTTCATGTTGGGTTGGCTTGTTAAAGGGGGGCATTGGAATGGTGTACCGTATATCTGGCTGCTTGGTAGCTTCGGGGTTAGTGCTGATTGCGTGTCATGCCACCTTTTCCTCGATCGCGCCGTCTTTCATTCTAACCCCTGAGCGGTTCTCCCACGGAGAACGTGTTGAGCCGATGTTGTGTGCATGAACTGGACATGAGTTCGGTCCCAACAACTTTTCTTCCAGTTGCGATGGCATGAGCATTGGGCTGTTTGACATAGCTCGCTAATTGCGGTGTTGTCGGATCCAGAGGTGAATGATGCCTCATTAGTATGGACAATGCAGTCATTGAGGGCCAAACCATCTCAAGTAATGTCCTATGTGTACCTCACCGGTAGTTTCTAGGTGCCTGTTAACACGGGCAGGTTGATAAGATATCATGGATTTCCTAGGTAGCACAGTATATCGGCGTGACCAATCAGGGGTCTGTATGCAGCTGCAAGCCAGTAACCGCTCCGAAAATCCGACTAAGGGACAGGGCAGGGTTCACGGACGGACACTCAGTGTGTGGATGAACTGCCTAAGGACGCTAGGCTTCAGTTTGTCTCTCGACTAGTCGGCCGGGATTCTTCCAATCGCCTGCTAGCCATTGGAGCATTCAAGAGGGAACATCATGGGTTCATGCATGATGATACCCCCGTGTACTCCGTAGTTTCCTTCCCTTTCACCGCATTATCAATTGGAAGCTGCACGATTCCAATGCAGTATACTGGACTCAAGAACGCTATGAGGGTATCCGCTGGTAGTCAACAATTATCAGTAAAGACAGTTATGAACACTCGAAAAAAAAAGGCATAAGATGACTTACATTCAGCAGGGTATGAGTACTGGACGTCTTCGCACATTCTGGCTGGTACGTTCAACAGCATGCGGATTTGCTGGATTTTCTGTTATTAAAATGTAATAGAGATCAAACATAAGGGAATGGGACTTACGCAGTGATATAGGGAATCACAGTTAGCTGTGATGAGCAGCAATGCTCCCTCCATCACGATTTCTCAGACAACTCATTGCTCTCCTGCTCCAATGCCACATAGCGTAGACGAAAAATCGCGAGCCTGCGGACCTTCACAATTACGCCAGTTAAATCCTCCTCCTCATCAAAAAATGGTTCAATCATTTCATCTGGAAAGGCCATGCCTAAGTCTAGCGACTTAGATGTCCAGAGTCGAACAAACAGATTGTCGAAGGGTGTCCAGTTCCGTCCCAGGGCCCAGCCCACTTAAGCAATACGCGTTGAGTTAGCGAAGTGCTATACGGGCTTCCCAGTTCTATATATCCCTCGGACCTTGAGCCTGGAGAGAAGGGCCTGGTAGTTTATCTGGAAGGTGTGAGACCACGAACAGGGTTGACGTAACTAGGACTCATGGGCCGTGTAAGTTGTCAAGGGGCTTTACCACTCAATACCCCTGCGGTACGGGAGCTTTCTCAAGGATTCTCCTGAGAGGGAGAAAGAGCGAAGAAGAGATAGACAGAGTCGTTGAAGAAGAGAGATTCACAGGAAGGCAGGAGAAGAGAAAAACTTCATGAACATAGCCTACCGGGTTGAAGCCCTACACCTCGATTTGCGCAGGAACTTCACATCCTACACTAAAGAAGAACCAGTGACAAATACCAATGACTTTGCGATATGTTCACTACTTATGTTTCAACAGGACTATGCAGAGGGCAAGGGGCTATCTTTATGTTCACAGACTAGACCTTATATGACCCTGCAGGGAATGCATGACAAACTAGGAGGGCATCTCGTGAGATGTGAAAACCTCGTGGGAAAGAAATGCTTCACAAAGGAAGGGTGTCGCGGAGATTTGGGAGTGGGAAGCAGCGCCAAGGGGGCGGAGCTGCCTATTCAATGACTTATAGTATTGTTGCTGCTCACCTACTCTCCCTTCGCGGAACTCCTCTTGTGGATGTCTGCGGGTGGTACTACGTGGTACTAACTACCTAGTAGGTCCTGGTATGCAGGGACCGCGTGGGTTTCCCCACGGCCACAAGCACGGTGCCCAATTCATTAATGGTAAGATCGAGTAAGCGAGTAAGCGAGTAAGCAGATTGATATCTTTTCCAAGATTAGACAGGCAGTCTTGGCATCAACAAATCACCATTGGGCATATGCTTTCATGGCACTGTCCTTGCTTATCTCCCAGTTTCCGGCTTCTTATCACCTTAAACTCCCACTGTACCTCGTATTGGCCAATGGCGGGGGGCCTTCGCTGACCTCCGCTGATAAGAAATGCTCTCCCGGCCAATGACAGGACCTTGCGGTGCTATCAAAGATAGAGTGGATCTGCAGGAAGTCAAAATACTTCATGGATCCCACCCGTCTCCACGAAAAAGATGCGGCATGAACAAGCCAGAGCTGCTGGGTCTAGCTCGTTTAAGCGAGATTCAGTGTTTGTTCTGGCTCCCCGGCCTTGAGCTGCTGCCCCATTACGAATTGATAGCGATGCCCTCGTCTTATCGATGACTCTTTGTACTCCGCGAACCTGCGCTCAGATCCAATTGCAGCGACTGAACAGGCCTTTATCCGCCATCATGATCCTGTAGATCAAGATGTGGCTGCGAGGTCGGAGATTTTGCCATGCGCCGCTGGCCTATATGATCTCTTACAGCTCGTCCATTTCCGGTGGACTTTCCAAGCGCATTCTCAATCAAGGAGCACACCGAAATCTGGGAAGACAACAGAGAACATTCGCTTCGCCATAAATACAAGCTTGGCGAGGAACGTCACCATGTCTTCGGACACCGTCAGTTTCACAGCCCCCCTTTCCCAAGGGTTTGGCTATGGTATCATCGTAGGGCTGGGCTTTGCCTTTGCCTTACTGATGATTTTCATTACGTGGGCCTTGAAGAGGTATTGACCCGAACTATGGCTCAATTGCACCTACTTTTGACAGCCAAGCTAATGTAGCCCCACAGGTACCAGTATGAAGTACAAACATCGGAAATGTTCTCGACTGCAGGAAGATCCGTCAAGTCGGGGCTGGTTGCAGCAGCTGTCGTCAGTAGTTGGACCTGGGCCGCAACCCTTCTTCAGTCGTCTACAGTAGCCTATGAATATGGCATCTCAGGTCCATTCTTCTATGCCTCAGGTGGGAAAAACTCAAAAGACTAAGCACTGACTGCTCACTAATATTTTGTTAAGGTGCTACTGTCCAGATCATTCTCTTCGCAACGCTGGCAATCGAGCTCAAACGCCGTGCTCCAAATGCGCACACCTTCTTGGAGGCCATCCGTGCCCGTTATGGAACTACCGTCCATATCGTCTTTACTGTCTTCTGCGTGATGACCAATATCCTGGTCACATCGATGCTGCTCACCGGCGGCTCTGCCGTCATGACTTCTCTTACCGGGGTTCACACGGTTGCAGCCTGCTTCCTCCTGCCGATCGGTGTTGTGCTATATACTCTCTTCGGTGGTATCAAGGCGACGTTCATTACAGACTACATGCACACCGTGGTAATCATTGTCGTCATCTTCATCTTCGCCTTCTCTGCCTATGCCACAAACGATAAGCTCGGATCCCCTGGCGCCGTGTATGAGGCACTAGTTGCTGCATCGAACCGCCACCCCGTGGAGGGCAACGCAGAGGGAAGCTATCTGACTATGAGATCCAAGGAGGGTGGCATTTTCTGGGTGATCAACCTCGTGGGCAATTTTGGGTTGGTCTTTCTGTATACCCAGACGTCCAGTCAATTGCTAACTCCCCCGCAGTACTGTCTTCCTCGACAACGGATACTACAATAAAGCCATCGCAGCAAGCCCCGTGCACGCTTTCCCCGGCTATGTCATCGGCGGTCTCTGTTGGTTTGCTATTCCCTGGCTCTGCGCCAGCACGATGGGAATGACCGCCCTCGCTCTTGAGGGCACCCAGCGCTTGAGCTCGAGCGACGTGTCCGCCGGACTTGTGCTGCCCTTTGCTGCCGTCAAGTTGCTCGGCTACAGCGGCGCGGTATGCACCACGATCATGATCTTCATGGCAGTGACCTCCGCCTTCTCGGCCCAACTAATCGCCGTCTCCTCCATCTTCACCTACGACATCTACCAGGGCTACATCAACCCCGAAGCCAAAGGCAAGCGTCTGGTCTGGATCTCACACATGACTTGCGTGGTCTGGGCCATCGCCATGGCTGCCTTCTCCACCGGTCTCTACTACGCCGGAATCAGCATGGGCTACCTGTACCTGTTGATGGGAGTCATCATCTCCTCCGCCGTCTTCCCCGGTGCCATGACCTTGGTCTGGAAACACCAGAACTGGATCGCCGCGGCAGTCTCCCCTCCGCTGGGTCTGGCCGTCTCCCTCATCGCGTGGCTCGTGACAGCGAAGAAGGAATACGGGGTCCTAACCGTCACGACGACCGGCTCCAAGTACGTTTCCTTCGCACTCCCCCCAACAGAAAAAAAAAACCCCTCATCCAAAGAACCAAGAACTAACCTAACCCAGCTACCCAATGCTCGCCGGCAACGTCGCCGCCCTCCTAAGCCCCATGATCTTCTCCCCCGTCCTAACCCTACTCTTCGGCTCCCAGAACTACGACTACGAGAGCATGCGCGCCATCCGCAAGGTGGATGACACCGACGTCGCCGCGGCCGCCCACGTCGACCTGGAGCAGATCCCCGGCGAGGTGGCGGCCCGCACCGCGGCGCAGGAGGAAGAGGAGACGCGCAAGCTCAACCGCGCGGCCTTCTACTCGCGCTCGCTGACCGTCGTCATGGTGTTTTGCTTTCTGATCCTGTGGCCCGTGCCCATGTACGGCAGCTCCTACGTCTTCAGCAAGAAGTTCTTCACCGGCTGGATCGTCGTCGGCCTGCTGTGGCTGTTCTGCACCACCTTCGGCGTGGTGGTGTTCCCGCTGTATGAGGGCCGGAAGAGTATGGTCCGCACCGTGCGGTTGATGACTCTGGACTTGTTGGGAAGGGGCGGGGCGAGGAGGAGGCCGATCGAAGGCGAGGTTGTGGTGACTCCCCCGGCGGGTGCGGGAACGGGGACGGGAAGTGAGACGGTTTCTGGGGTGCAGACGCCGGTGTATGCTGGGGAGAAGGGGGTGTTGGAGGGGGAGAAGTAGATTTCATTTGAGCGTACTCGTACTTTGGTATGGGCTGGTTTGGATTGAGTGCTTGTGATGATGATGATTATGGATACGTTGGCGAGGGAGGTCTTAGTTCTTATGCTTGGTTTTTTTCCGGATATATATACCCCCACTGTTGTTTTTAGTATGTCTAGTGAATTGCAACGTTTATGATATTGAGTCTCATTTCGCTTGTAGACTTGAGCAGAGGATAAACAGCACAGCATAAAGCATGGCAACAGCAAATGAACAAACAAGCAGGAAGCAAAGAGGTATCTTCCAATCCAGTCAAACATGAAGACAAAACGCACACCGTCGATGGAAATACTAACGGCAACAAAACAAAAGAACCCGACAGGAAACATCGAAGCATTTACTTATACACAAAGTTCTGCTGTCCTGGCTGCTGCTGCTGCTGTGGTGCCACCGCGCCCGATGCCTGAGGGGGTGGATAGTACGGCGCCCCGCCCCCATACGCCTGGGGTAATTGGCCCGGTATGACACCCGGAGGAGGCCTTGTCTCCGGGGTGATATCTGGACGGTCGCTATGTGTCCAGAATGATCAGTTGCTGTCGTAGGTTTGGAGGTCTTGGGGGCTTACCCTAGATCCTGGGTGAAGCGGCATGTGTAGCAGGTTACTTCCTGTAGTAGATCGTGAGTTCCAATACGTACCTCGTCATAGGTTTAAGAGAGAAGATTGCTTACCTTGTACTTATGCATAGCGAGAGGAATGACAGGCTGAGAAGAAGTGATCGCGTTAGTATTCGAGTTTCCGTGATTGATGCCTGGGGGTCGTCGTCGGAGGCCGAACGTACAACAAAGCAGACGGTGAACCAGGGCCTGGTTTGGTTAGTGTCACGATCAACGGTATCTGCGATTCTGGGACAGATGCTTACCATCTTGTCAGACAGTGTCCGTTCCAATGTTGGCCTGATGAGGTGGTTGTTTGTCAGTACTAGCTAGGTAAATTGGTTCCGGGAAGGGTACTGTGTATGCTTGCTACTGTATAGTGCCGCTGTTGCTATGCTATATTTAGATAGCAGTAAATAGCGGCTAGTATATCCCCCACAGCTTACTGATAGGTGTCCCAAAGGAAGAGTAGTAAACGTGGAATATACTCACAGTTGTAGCAATAGGCACGAACATTCTCGTAGCCTTCTAGCATGGACGTGAATTCTGGTGGTGCCCGTGGTGTTAGCTTGATGCCGAAACTGAAACCGGGCGCTCATTTCAGGGTCTATGGGGGATGCCGCTGTGGCGAGGGTGGAGTTGGTAGGTTACGTAGTGGTCAGGCACGTACCATGAGTCCCGAAGGTGATGCAGATGGCCATCTTGAGATTATGGAACAGTCGGGGATATGGTGAGAGAGAGGGAACGATTGGGAATGCGACGAATATAGAATTAAAATCGTGATGTCGTTCAGTTGATTATTCGAAGCTCGAAACGAAGGGAGACGATCGTAGGGGAAGGCAGCCATGTTAAAAGAGCTGGGACTGAGAGGCGCGGATGTGTGGCGGTGGTGTGGCTTGGCAGCGGGTGGTTGCTGACTGCTGGGCCTTGGCGGGCCGGTTTCGGGGATTCGGGGGTGCTACTTATGGGGTTAAAGGGTGTGTCTGGGGAGGACTGCCCCTATACCTGGTACATGCCCCATCCACAGTGAAGAGCTACGCAGCAAGAAGAGTTGCGATGATCGGATATCATTTCTTTCGTAATTAATTTTCCCATAATCTCTCGGAGAATAAATAAATCGAGAGGAGTCCTGCGAAGTAGTAGCTGGTTTGTTTACAGAGATTCCCCCCACCATGTTACGTCCTTCCAACCAGTCGCAATGGCATAAGAATAACCACGCCAATACTTTCAATTTATATATGAACATATTTCGGCGTGACTCGCCTGCAAAGAACTCCGAAATAGGTACAGGAAACGCTTAACGATATCGACCATTGTGTGCCCTTCGCATGCTTATTGAGTCTTGAAAAGGAGGATGGCGCAGTGACCGAGGTAGAAGTAGATGAAATGTTTCGTCTCTGTGATCCCAATCAGTCCATATCCTCAAGGAGCTTTCAGCTGTACCCACCGTGTGTCACGAAGCTGCCAAAGTTTCTTCCCACCACGCAGTGCCATGTCGCACCCTTGCGCGAGTCGAACTGCTAAGGTGTAAGCGGAGTGCTGGAATTCGAGTAATGGAGCGGCGGCTGACCTCTCTCTTGATATACTGGGCAATATCCTGCGACTGTCAGTAAGGTCTCTAAGTGACTTGCGATCGTAGAAACCTACCTTCTCAATGTGGTACTTGTCCATCGCCTCGATCGCTAAACAGCCCGCATTAGTTGGGATCAAGATCAGCCCCGCAGTCATACATACCAACTTCAACAGCCTCCTGCTGCATGTCCTCCGTCTGGTACCCCGTCAGTGGTTTTCCAAGCTCCTGTAGCTCTCGTTCTCCTTACCATATCGACGGACTTGATCTGCGCTAAACAAGCCCGTTAGCTCTCGTCTCCATCACGCCGCGGGTTGACTCACGCTCAAGCTTGTCCTTCTTTTCGGAAGCCATCTTGTTTGTAGTTTATCCTTGACCACAAGTTTCAGAATGGAGAGAAAGACCCAGAGATCGAATGATTAGTCAAAATTCGTTTGCGCAGAAAGTACCAATGAAGCCCAACCAGGAGTATTGGGAATCAACAATTCCAGGTTGCGCGCCGCAATGATCCAAAGCCGATGGGGCTCGGGTCATGCCGCCCCTCACACCGCCTTCGGCACTATAAGGATGTCGAAAATAAAAAAGCACCCTGCCAAAATTTTTTTCTGTTTCCCGGATTTCACTCTTCCACATCCCGATTCCTGTGGCACGCACACTTTTCGAGAGAGTAGGCCACAGGGACCTGAAGCAAACCACTACTCAATCATGGAAAGCACCAGAGTTTTTGTCTCTGGCCTTCCGCCAACTTTCTCTGATGATCAATTGAGAAAGCATTTCGCCAGTCGCTTCCAGGTCACGGACGCTCATGTATTGCCCAAGCGCAGGATCGGCTTTGTGGGCTTCAAGAGCCATGAGGTTGCCCAACAGGCCGTGTCTTATTTCAATAAGACCTACATGAAGATGTCCAAGATCTCTGTAGACATTGCTAAGCCGGTATGTGTTTCACCTGTTGATCTCGTTGCACTTATCCTTTTCCTTCCTTTCTTTTTTTTTTTGTCTTACCCGCTGACGATTAAGGTGGTCTTGTGACTGACCAGTAATTTGTAGATTGATGCCGAACCTACCCCAAGAGCCCGCAAGTCAGGCAACGCCCAGGATCATGACGACGCGGGAAGTTCGCTCAAGCGTAAGCGCGATGGCGACAAGACCGAGGATCCCAAGCTGCAGGAGTACCTGTCCGTAATGCAGCACTCGTCTAAGACTAAGACGTGGGCCAACGACGACGCCATGCCTAAAGCCCCAGAGACAAACTCACCTGCAGAAAAGCCCGTTGAAGACGAAGAAGAGGAGCCGCAGGAGCTCACTTACGCCCAAAGGAAGAAGGCCAAGCTTGGAGACGTCCCGGCTAATCCTAGAGAAGTGCATAATGCGGGCCAACAAGCTGAAGCAGAACCAGAGCCCATGGTCGTCGATCATAGTGGCGAGGGTGATGCCGAGCCGTCAGCGGATCAGGATGATGCTGTCGCCCCCGAGGAAGAACAGGCGCCTGTCTCGGATGCGGACTGGCTTCGCTCCAAGACGAGTCGTCTCCTTGGCCTCCTCGACGAGGATGAGCAAGCAGAGTTTGACTCTCCCGCACAGCAGAAGCCTGCTGCTTCTCATGAGGCAGAGTCGAGGATGGAAGTTGACGCCGAACCTGCTCAGGATGTCGCCACCACCGAAGAACCTTCCGCTGGTAAAATAGCGAAGGAGCCGGAGGTCGACACCAACATCGAGAACATTCGCATCTCAGCGCGTCTCTTCGTCCGCAATTTGGCTTATGACACGTCGGATTCGGATCTTCATCCTATCTTTGCTCCTTTCGGCCAAATCGAAGAGGTTAGTTACTTGGTCTTGATCGCGTTACACGTTGCATTGTCACCCCTCCCCCCAAGCTCAATGATGAACGACCTGATAGGGACATCCGATGCAAAGCAGATGATGTTGCCAGGAAACGAGTATTTTAGTAGATGCCTCGCATATCTGAAAGAGCTATACCCTCTCATGTTTTTATTCCACTCATCGTTTGGTCGGTCGATGCTAACATGACTAGATCCACGTTGCTGTTGATACTCGGTCAAACACCAGCAAGGGTTTTGCCTACATCCAGTATGTCAATGCTGATGCTGCCGTAGAGGCCTACAAACAGCTGGATGGCAAGCACTTCCAAGGCCGTTTGATGCATATTTTACCGGCTGCTGCCAAGAAGACGTATAAGATCGACGAGGCCGAGCTGGCGAAGCTGCCACTGAAGAAGCAGATGCAAATCAAGAAGAAGATGGGGGCGGCATCTTCATCTTTTAGTTGGAACTCGCTGTACATGAACGTGAGTTATCTCGTTGCAATCTTGAATGCCCCAATGCTAACTGAACCAGGCCGACGCTGTCATGTCGTCAGTAGCTGAACGTCTTGGTGTGTCGAAAGCAGATTTGCTTGACCCCACTTCGTCTGATGCAGCAGTGAAGCAAGCGCACGCTGAGACGCACGTAATTCAGGAGACGAAAGCCTACTTCTCAGCCAACGGCGTCAATATTGAGGCCTTTAAGCAACGGGAACGTGGAAACACGGCTATCCTAGTAAAGAACTTCTCATATGGCGTCAAGACTGATGACATTAGGAAACTATTTGATCCGTATGGACAAATCACCAGGCTACTGATGCCGCCCAGCGGTACCATAGCAATCGTCGAGTTTTCGCGCCCCGACGAGGCCCAGAAAGCCTTCAAGAGTCTTGCGTACCGCAAACTAGGGGATTCGATCCTCTTCCTAGAGAAGGCTCCCAAGGATCTATTTGATCCCAACGTTGTGCCGCAAAAGCCAACCACCGAGATCAAGGCTGTCTCGCAAGGATTCTCAACGGCTGACACGTTTGCGGCAGATGAGGTTGTCGATGACAACCTGCCCACAACCACTCTATTTGTAAAGAACCTCAACTTCGCTACCACCAACCAGAGCTTTGTGGACCTCTTTCGACCACTGGATGGCTTTATCACCGCTAGGATCAAGACCAAGCCCGACCCCAAACGCCCTGGGCAGACTCTCAGCATGGGCTTTGGCTTTGTGGAGTTCCGCACCAAGGCTCAGGCCCAGGCTGCCCTAGGCGCGATGAACGGCTACAAGCTTGATCAGCATGAATTGGTGGTTAGGGTGTCTCACCGCGGAATGGATGCTGCGGAGGAGCGGAGACGGGAGGACACCGCGAAGAAGGTGGCCGCCAGACGGACGAAGATCATCATAAAGAACTTGCCGTTCCAGGCCACCAAGAAGGACATCCGGTCGCTATTTGGCGCCTATGGCCAGCTTCGCTCTGTGCGGGTGCCTCAGAAGTTTGACAGGACGGCCCGTGGTTTCGGTTTTGCTGACTTTGTAAGCGCTCGTGAAGCGGAGAATGCCATGGACGCCCTTAAGAACACGCACTTGCTGGGCAGGAAGCTGGTGCTGGAATTCGCGAACGAGGAGGCGATCGATGCTGAGGAAGAGATCAAGCAGATCGAAAAGAAAGTAGGAGAGCAGATGGACAGGGTGAAGCTACAAAAACTTAGTGGTCCTGGGCGCAAGAAGTTCACTGTAGGGGCCCAGGACGAGGAGTAAAGAGTCCCTTCTCTACCCTTGGTTCTTTTGACTTCCTTCCTCTCTCCTCCCTGTTGATAGGGGACAGACAATGGCAATGGTGCACTGATGGTGATGATATCCCTTGCGTCCGGGACGCTGAGTTTGGAGGGTGGAAGTAGGCTCTCACGTTCGCCTGCGGCTGTCAACACGTACATACGCGTTCTGCAGAGCGAGCGGATGCTCGTGCCTGTTCTCACGAGAGTTTCGTCCTGTCATCCCAGTAAGGTCCTTCTCCCGAGTCTCCGTGCTATTCAGGGCTCACTACTTCCCTTAATCCCTTATACCTACCTACCAATTCATACCTTCAATCAATGCGAAACCCTTGGTTATGGACGTGCAAATTAAGCTGGAGCTAGGGTTCTCACCAACATTCCGACCTGATCTTCGTAATTACCTCGTTACATTCCACACCTACGGTTGGAGACGATGTCGTTGGCTCACGCTCATTCCAAAGCCGGCTCTTTGCCACAACTCGTCCAGTTTGGATGCTGTGTACCTGCTTTTCAGGTAACGATGTCCATCTCACGCTGCGAAAATCTCCGAGTTGCACCTCACTGGAGCGTGCACCTTGAGGGACCCCCTTGCATCAGTCTCCGGCTCGTGCCCATCGTGGGCTTCCTTCCCTCCTGATTTGCTCCCCAGTGGTTTCCTGGGCTCAGCACTCAGTCTGGACGCGTGAAGCCTGGAAGGAGATTCCCTGTTGTCCCCCCGCCTTGGACAATCGAGGTTCGTTGCCCTAGAGGGGTGGTTCATCAACAAGCAGTGGGATCGAGCAATGTCACTGGGCCTCCCTCTCCAGGGGAGAGAATGGTTCCCTATAAACACCATGCTGCTCGCTCCCACATTCTCTCTCGTAGGGTTCTTACATTCTCTCCAAGCATTTACGTTCTTGATCGCTGGGTGGGTGACTGCTACGTTCTTTGCCAGGCAGTAGTAAGCATTTCGCGGTCCTCGTCCCCCATCTCTTTGGAATTTGTCGCCATTCTTTCCAAGAGCCTACACTCTGGTCCGCCCCATGGCTACTGACTGGCAAACGGAGTGTATTCTGCCTCAACATCAACCCACTCTGGACAGTATCGGAGCTCATACGGACAGAGCCTTGCAGAACACCTCGGGGAACGTTCAGACGTACTCGGACAGCCTCGCACACAGTGGGATCACGGGGCGGGACGAGCATCTGCATCATCTAGCCTACAAGTACCCTCAACCTCCTGTGCCAACACATCCAGTGCCCACTGTCTCTAGCCTTGGGCCTCCTCAGAGCCTACGATTCCAGGCAAAGAAGCTGCGGCGTCTGCAGTCTGTTGGGCCGAACCTCGTGGGACCGCGTCGACCAAGAAGCTACCTCAGGTCGCAAAAGTATCTCGAGTATCGAGCCCGACCTCGCCGCGACACTGGCAAAGATGGGGAACCGGTATGGTCGGACGAACTTGAAGACGCGTTTCAACAAGGTGAGCAGCTTCGAGGATGATAGTGTACGAGCACTCAAGTAACCCGTTCAACAGCTCTCGAAGCGAATCCGCCGATGGGCCGACGGAAATGGTCGGAACGAGGAAAGTCCTATGGTCGAAATGAGCTTATTGCTGAATACATCTACAAGAAAACTGGTAAACGACGAACCAGAAAGCAAGTGTCCAGCCATCTGCAAGTCCTCGACTCATTCCTCAAAGGAGACCCGGACTGTAAGTTTCATCTGGCGTGAAGAAGGGCAAACACAACGGGACTAACGCAGAGCAGGGGAGCGACTCGTACGAGAAGAGGCGGCCGTCCGCTCGAACAGCCAACATCCGCCCAGTGGTCCAAAATGGAGGGCTTCCTTGGACCCTCCCTTGTCAAGTCATTATGGCAATCACTTCCACGCCCCCCATTATGATCATTTGAGGTTGGGGCATGC